CACTGACCATTACTACTTCGCACAACCTCTGCTGCCACTGCCGCCATTGCTGTGCTGTTGCTGCCTTTGCATGTCTTATGCACCTTGAAACTATGACCCACTGATGTAAGCCTCTCGTTGATCTTCACCAGGTCGAAAGAGTAGACCTCCGCAAACGGCTAGCTGCAATCCAACCACAGAACATGTCTTGGTGTCTGTTGTTCCTCTTCAACTTCTCGTCAAGATGTTGTGCTGCTCTCTGCCAACCACATCTGGAACTTTCAAGCGCCGAACTTCAACAGCCCTAAGCCTCTCAGTGCCCAATTCAAGGTGCTTCAAATCGGCAAGATGTAAGCGTCCACGCCCCTCCTATCTGAATCCAAGCTCTTCGCCATCCATCCTGGGGTCGATAAACAGGTAGAAGCCGGATCACAGTGCGCGTTCAGGTCTACATCTAAACTTCCGACTGACAGGGTTAAAGCCCCCAAGTTCTGCCTGATTTTTGCCCCTCTAGGATAACGTATTCGACTGTATACTTGAGATAAAGGCTAGTGCCCCAAAACCCTGCATATCTCCACACAACCAGACCAGAACCCCATGCCACTAAAATTTCCAGGCGCGCAATGTAATGTGATGTGACAGCTACTCCTATTTCACTTTCTGTTTTATATACTAAGGCAAACGAACCTCCAGCCCCTGAAGTGGAATCCCAACAATCAAAAGCCCGAAGCGCAAAATATAAAATCCCCGTTAACTCTCCATATATATATATATTTATTAGACACACATGGAAACATCCTTTTGCTTGTAAACATGCGGACGCCTAGTTTTGAGAAGCTCCTCTTTGCAAGGGCCTTCCGCTTGCTCAATTCCAGAGCCAGTCGGGCGTCGCCGCAGCCAAAGTCACCTGGAAGCTTACCGTAAAAAAAATAAAGGTTGCTTTGTAATCTTTGTCTTCGAAGCCCTCTAAATTCTCTGGGGTCCTTCTGGCCACCATTCAGGGGAGAGAGAGAGAGAGAGAGACGCAAGGCATTTCTCAATATGAGCCATAGTCTAAACTCCTAGTATCCCCCTTAATAACCCCTATAGTAGTTCCCTATAGAATCCCCTATATATCCCCCTTTAAGGAGTTTAGACTATAGCTCATATGTTCATGGCACTGCGCCAATTGCAAACTTCATGTCGAGTTCCCATGCAAAGCTAGTGGGCTTTGGGGTTTAGATGCAGAGTCCCAGTTTCAATGTCAGTTTCCATTTGATTCTCCATTATTGTAGGGAAAACCCTAAACCCTAAACCCTAAAACCCTAAACCCTAAACCCTAACCCTAGAGTCCCGGGCTATCATCTTCAGAGTCAGTCAATGTTCAGGGTAATGCAGGCTAAGCACTCGAAGGTCTGTCAGCAGTGAGAAGATGCAAGTCTACCGTCTCAAGATAATCCATATGTAACCCCTTTATAATCTTTACAACCCGTATATAGTAGTAGTTTGCATTTTCTTTTCCAGTATCACAATATACCCCCAATGTACTAAAGTAACCCCAAAAAGTTATCCTCAAAAGGCGCCTCTCTTTAACTTCTTCCTTGGTCAGAACAGAACTGCAGTCTCCTTAGACCTTTATTACAAACAAAACTGTGTTTGATAATTCCTTAGGGTTACATACGAATAAAACTAAAAATAATTCCCAAGGAGACAACAGTCTAACCTATTCCTTGGTCAGAACAGAAAGGCCCCAGGGTTCCGTCTGACTTTTTGAGTGCAGCACGTGGTAACAGCCTTGCATGCTTCATCAGCACCAGTACGCTTGCTGTAGAACGCTTAAGCACCACGAAACACATCAACCAGCAAATAACCAAAATCACACCCCAGAAAACCCATGACTCCTACCGACAGAACCCCAAGTACCCCCCAAATATCCCTACAAACATGTGAAACCGTCTTGGGAAATCCCCCGCAAGATCCAGCTAAGTCACCGATCACCGCCTCCTTGGGGACCTGAACAGGGAGCCTTGAAGGAGGGTTTACTGGGTTGGTTGCTGTTAAGGAACTTAAATTAAGTTGCCATAATGGGTATATGTAGTAAATAATAGGGTTTCCCCAATATAGTAACTTAATTTAAGTTCCTTAACAGCAACCCAGTTGAAGGAGGGTTTAGAGGCCTTAAGGCTTAGGGTCCAAGCGGCAAGACCTCATGAAGCCTGTTTGTGCTGGAGAATACAGCGACCTGGGCTTTAACTAGAATCCCATGCCGGGCCCAGACATCTACACTCTCAAACAGAATTATTGCTGTACTTGGAGGGTCAGGGGGACTCAGTAAGCATGAGTAATCGGATGACTGGGGCTATTCACTGGCTTCTAGGGCTTATAAATATCGTTCCTAGGTCGCCCTGCGCCCCCAAGCAGGCCCAATCAACACCCTCAACTTGCACCCGGAAGCCCTAACCCCGAACTCGGTTTAGGGTTAGAATATTTCCCTGTGCAATCCTTGCATCCAGGGTACAAGGACTAAATGGTGGCTTTCTCCTGTGAACATTCATGGCCTTGCTGTTGATAAGCGACTGGTAGCTTTGACCTTTAATGGGTAGTTTCCCAAAATAATGGGACGCCACTATAGACCCTAATGTTCTTTGATCCTTCTCATAATCATAGAGACCCCCAAAACGGTACCCCTATATAAGTTTGGGAAACCCCCAATGCTAGCCAAATTTAACATGTCACGGCCTACCTCTTTGCAGCACAGCAAGGGCAAGCCCTCGATGTGGGCCGCAATGGGAAAAAAACAGTTCAGGATGTACGGCTTATGTCAGTAGCGCAAGTCGATAAGCTATGCTAGCTCCTTACATCATCCAGAAGTGATTAGCTTCTGGGTTCTCTCCACCAAAGACTGCGTAAGTCCCAAGTCAAAGGCGTGCGTCGCATGAAGACAGAAGTGCTTGCAAGTTTGGAGTTTCACGTTTGTTTGCAACAGTGTCGTGCCTATAACCTTATCGAAACGCTGCATGCCCGGTACCCTAAGCCCCCTAGACCCTAGATCCGCAACTCCTAGAGTGAATCGTTTGCTATATCTTCGGCTCTAAAATTATCAGAAAGGCTATAGGATACTGATTTCACCCTACTTAAACTTGCGAGTAACTAAGGAAAGTAGGAGTGGTTGTCCGGGGACTATTGTAACTATAAGGACCCATTCCCCAGTTTAATGCTAATCACTATGAAATAAGCTCCCCCTTTGCCAGATCTGAAGATCGGGCCTCTGCCTTCAACCAACCTCAGTACAGCAAAACCAGTTCAAGGCAAAGCTTGGGATGCATAGGCTGTAGGGTGGGGGGACTGAGCAAGTCCTAGCAAGTATACTTACAACCCACGAGCCACACAGGAACGCTTGCTATTGATTCGGGTTCGGGGCATAAGTCGGCTTACCTTAGTGTGCACAGCCAAGGGATAACTGTACTTACATCAGAGCCACCCCAAACTCCCATTCTACCATGACTAGTGTGGGGAATCTGAGGTAGATACTGAGTGTAGGAGCGCACTTGCAGACATCGGGATACACACCAAGGATTAGGAGACCAAGAAGGGACAACAGTAGTAGTAGTAGTAGTAGCAGTAGCAGTAGCAGTAGCAGTAGCAGCAGCAGCAGAAGCAGTAGTAGTAGTAGCAGTAGTAACAGTAGTAGTAATTAATGGCAATCATTCCTCCAGAGAAAGCTGTGATTCTTGCGCGATGGCAAGTATACAGTCCCCCTTAAGGAGATAGAATATGGAATTGACCTATATTATAATAAGATCCCCATATATCCCCCCCCATGTTCTATCTACTTAAGGGGGACTATGCTCTTCTGTGCAAATGGTTTCAACTCTTAGGGCTTCAACTTAGGGAGGAAGCTGTTCTTCTTGACATGAGCTATAGTCAAAACTCCTAGTATCCCCCTTGAGAAGGGCTATACTACTCCCCTATATAATCACCTATACAACCCCCTTGAAGGACCCTATCTGTTCGTACAACGCAAGCTCTGCAAAAGCAATGACAGCTCGTCTGTACTTAGGAACTCGGGAATGAAGGCTTCCCATCTAAAAGTGTCTTGGAAGACCTCGAACCCTGAAGCTATGCTCAAATTTGTACTCTCGCCCCCTGATGCCTACCTTGACGTCCTCTTCCCTGCCAACACAACCAACCCAAAAGCCGCAATGCTGCGAGTGGACTGATGACGCCATCCAAGGGGTTTCTCGGCCACTTGGCAGCTTGAGCGCGGAATCCCTTGCTGCCAGGTTGCATGCGCAGTTGCGGGAATTTGCACGCCGCAGCCATTCTCACAGATGCGGAAACACCTACTTAATTCTCTGTCAAATACGTATTGAACGACACTTCCTGGCAATTACATGGCAAACCTCTCCGCGATCTCAAGGACGATATTGTGCTTCTTGGCTCGTTCTGTTCTTGACATTGGCTCCTGAACGTGTTGCGAATGTGGTAAATAGTCTAACCCAGAAGTTCGTCCTGTTTTCGTGCAAATTTTGCTTAATAAGTTAATACATAATTACTAACTGCGCAGATTTTGGTAGCCCCAACCCCCCAAATTAGGACTCCTTTTCAATATAACCATGTGGACCATATTGTAGAAACATGGTGCACCGTTTGCACGCAGGTGAGGTCAGCAAAAGCTGTGGCGAGTGTTTGTCCCGGCTCTTGTTGTTTAATTGGTTCGTTGGTAGTTCCAAGTGGAATCAAATTCAAGTCATTTACACGTACAGCGCGAATTTTTTCTAGGAGATTCTCAAGAGAGCTTCCCAAAGGGTCCAAGAGCCCACGTATACCAGCAAGCTCTCTTGCCTGTGGGTGCATACGCTGCCAAGCACCAAGTTACATGGGCAGGCAACTTGCGAAACGTGAGTGTTATCTGTAATTATCAGAAGATGAGAGGTCTTGAATGGCTGCAACTTCGGTTTTGCCCTGCCTAGTATAGACAAGCAGAGGAATTCTGGGAAAAGCTCACATGTCAGGGCCACATCTTGACCAAAATGTCCCACCTCGTGGTACGCATCTGCCAGGGAAGGGTCTTTGGTGAACATTGTCAGAGCCTCATCACCCGTCATGGTGTACCTGGGACTACAATGACTGCATGAGGCTAGATGCCCAGAAAAGTGAACATCGGTGATTCATATGCCTTGTGGGAAGGTCTGTGCATTGGGCTTCTAGCATTTTGCACAACCTAAACCCTAAACCCCGAAGGAAATCCCCTGTTTAAGTACTACCCATGAACTGCCGCGGTACTCATGTTCAAGTCTCCATGCCAACGTAGGCTCACGGGGTGTCCAATTGCGAGCAGACGACTGAGCAGGTAGAGTGAGCAAGCGCAGCGAACAGAAAGGCATGAGCCCCGTGCCCTGATAAAAATAACTGCCTACATCGGGAGTGGGTGTTATCTGGATAGGGAGGAGTGCCATCGGAGGAAGTCAGCCACCGGCAAATCTTGCACTACCAGTATTGTCACTACCGAACCGGAGGACCAAAGGACCTACGACCGCAACAGCTTTATGAGTCCAAGGCGCAGCGATTCATTGAGACAGCGGAACCTCTACAAGACAGCTGGGCTTACCCAATGCAGGGCATTTCTGGAAGATGGTGGATAAGGTACGAAAAAGGGTGCTATCACATATACCGCTCCCGTGCGTTTGTTTTGGCAGGGCCCCCGCTTCTCAAGGCCTGCAGGACAAAGATCACAAGGTCTGCAGTGTGTAAATCAGGGCACTACTCTTAGAAGGTTCCAGGCATAAACCTGCTCAGAAGTCCGATATTCATCTCAGTGTCCATGTTCTTCCGCGTTTCATTCTCCATTCTGGAAATTACTGAGGCCCCTACTGTATTGCCACACTACATTGTGACAATCCTCACTGCAGCACCGGGTTGCCGTGTTTTGGTGCTGGCAAAGCTTCTAGCGAGTCATCGCAAGGACAAGAACAATGTGTGGCGATAAACGGGTTTCTCCAAGTCAGACGGGAAACCTCCTTACACACATATAGGCGGATCGATATTATAGAGACCTCTAAGACACGAACCGTCTTCCAATGATCTTCTCTATCCTAGATTAACCATACACTTCACTGGGTTGCTGTTAAGGAATTCAATTTAGGCTACTACATCAGGTAAACCATATTGAGTACCATATATACCTATTATGCTAGCTTAATTTAAGTGCCTTAGCAGCAACCCAGCTTACTCCGTAACAGGCCCAGACCTGATAATTTGAAAGCTGTAAGCTGCCTAAAGCCAAGCCAGGGCTTTGGGGTTCAGGTTTTAGGCTTCGGGGACCATGGATCCCAACACCCCTTAAATAAGGGATATGACCTAAATGGCACTAGGGTCACTAATATGAACTAAGTTAGATGCCTTAGTTGAAGGGTATTGGGAAGTTCCAGTTCCCGAAAAGGACCTATATTTTAAGAGGGAAGCAAGTAGAAGGACTCGTATTTTACTAATGTGGAAAACCCTCGAACACCATTTGCCCAAGAAATGAAGGACCGCTGAAAGAAGACCTATTGCATTAGGAAATACGATGTAGAAAGCCAAAAACGAGCACTGTAGAAGCCTCGATATTTACCAATAACTTGTTCAAGTCTATTAACACTACCCTCAAATAAACAGAGCTATACAAGGGATCTGGCACCATATTATCGGTGACTAATTAGGCCCCTGCAGTCAAACTTTCTTATCCCTGCGATTGTGCCCACAGAGCCCTCCTTAAACCTATGCCTGCAAAGCCGACACACCAAAGCATGAACCTTCTAGGGTTTAGGTTGGGCACTGCCCCCAGTACCCAACCCCTAGGGTTTAGGGTTTAGGGGCGAGGTTACCTCGCCCCTAAACCAAAACATTAAAATCCCCGAAGAAAATACTCGAAGCCCTACCTGAACCCTCAGGTACCCAGAATAATGGCTGTGCTTTCTGTTCTATGAATTGTGCTTTCCCATTCTCTCGTACCTACTCTTGAGGTTTTTTGAGGGCCGAAACCCTGAGCCCAAACCCTAAACCCCTAAGCCCCGAAACTAACCCCCTAAACCCAAAGCCCCAAACCCTAAATCCCAAACCCCTAAACCTCATCCCCCCCACCTGGAGCCCTTCAGCCGCTGGGCCGCCCCCTTCAAGACAGAGCTTGGCCCTTTTGAGGTCACCGAGCCTCGTGGTTGAGGGCTTCGGGGCTTAGGTAGAGTTTAGGTTTAGGGTTTAGGGTTTCGGGTGTAGGGTTAAGTACTAATGTTATAAACGTGAATTCTGTACTGGCCGTAGTATTAATAACAATGTTTCCTCTTATTTCTACGCTTACTTTCTTATTACCAGTACTGGTAGTATTCTTCATAAGATGCCTGGGAACCCGTGGTTCAGGGCCTAGGGTTTAGGCTTTAGCCTTTGGGCGTTTATAGCCTCCCTTAAGTAGATAGAGGATGGCTTTAGGTACATTATAATACGATCCCCATATACCCGATATTCTATCTACTTGAGGGGGATTATAAGTAAGAGAGTATCTTAGCACCACTGCAAGGCTTCACAAGGACGCGGCAGGAGATGAGGTTTTGGGGACGTGGAGGCTTATTAGTCCACTTGGTGTGGAGTCCATGTGGGATCTTACAGATATTGTAGGGGCAGAGATAATCCAATAAGGGCTTTACTACTGTTATGTCAGGATACTAAAAGAATCTGCAAGTATTTGCTTAGGCTTGCATAGCGAGGGCCAAGCCACTTCTAAAAAATACAAAGGCCCACATATGATATGGGGAGCGCTGAGAAAAGGACTGCAAGCAGCAAGACCCTTATGCTCACAAAACTTCTATGTTAGAAACTCTCATTAGGGTCCAACATACACACTTGTAGAAGATTGCTACTGGAGAGCGCTAATTTGTGCAGATGACTGCCTGACTTGGTGGTGGCTTTGCACGTGTCATGCTACGTTGTATGCATGTCTGACCTCCAGTTCTGGAGCACGGCTGTTTGCCGTACGGTTCACAGAGCCTATGAAACGAGAGCACTTCCAACAAGAGTCCAGAGCACTATCTGGACAAAGCTCTGGAAGGTTGGTCTGTAAATCCTGCGGACAAATCCCGAGGTCTTGAACCTCAAAACTTGAAACTGAAAACAATTCTGCCAACCTTGCAACCCAAATGCCAGTCAGGCGGGCCCAATGCCCATCCGAAATGAAACTTAGAAATTCAGCTGTTGAAAGAAGAAATCACGTGTTCATGACCATCGGACGTTCCCCTACGCAAAGACTTTTTTGAGGATTCCTGCCAACACACAACATGGTTTCAGGAGGTTTTCCAAGGTAAATGGAAAATGTCACAGAACAACTACCATGCAACACCAGCAATGTGTTACAGCCGCAGTGCACGGAACCATATGGAGATTTAGCCCCACTGACAGCTGCAGTTGGGGTTGTCATTGTTTTGATGACAAGGATCCTGGGAACGTTGCAAGTATCAGGAGAGCAAGGGAACAAACATGACCACTTACGCAGAAGTGGTGCAGTGGCACGAATGCACGCTCTAGCGCTAGCAGCTTGATTGTGATCAGCCATGCTCTTTGCGGCTTCAACAAGTGCGAGTGAACAAGATGCTGATGGTCGTGAATATAACAAATTACCCAATACATGCCAACAGCATAGATCAAGAAACATCAAGTTGAACGGCCCAGTTGCCTGCTTCCTCATCCACAACTGGACTCTTCTTCTTCTGCTTCGATCCCACATTGGGTTCGGGTTCTTGGATCAGAACCAACACAGAAACAACAACGACAAGCTTCCACAGGGGCCCTGGAAAAGTTGTGCGCTTGTGCAGGCCGCGAGGTCCTTTCCTATAATCTGCGTCCTGAGGATGGTCTCCTTATGACGTCTACCTGCAATGATTTTCTAGAAGGCATTCTCCGAACAGTGGTCCGCGTGTCATAAACGGCGTAGCGCATCAGAGAAGAAGCTTCCCCTCCTAACCTCCCCAGAAAAAAGATCAGGCGAGTCTTGGCTATCTGCTCAGCGCGTGGGTTTGGTCTGTCTCCATCTACGGAATTCATCATCGCCAGCGGCAATGAGTGCTGAGTCAGCCCTGCGTTGATAGAATACACGCGTTGTGGAAGATCAAGTTATCTTGGCTTCGCCGCGAGTGTTCTCGCTGTGAAGACTGAAGACAGGCAACCTTCCAATGCTCGACCCCTGCCTATGGCCCGCTCCAACATACTTACCTCTGATCCCCCTAAATTCCTTACATGAGCTCAGCTATAGTCTAAACTCCTAGCATCCCCCTTAGTAAGCCCTGTAATACTCCCCTATATAACGTCCTTTAAGGAGTTTAGAAGATAGTACATATGATATACTCCAACAACCAGTAAGCATCGCACAAGACCGGCTCTGAGCCCAGACACTGAAATCCATGGACCTTCCCAGCTGAGCAAATCCAGAATCCGAAGGTGTAAGCACCCGGGTTCTAGGGTTTAGGGGTTCCCTCTCCACCATGCTCATTACAGGCTCTATAGGTTGGGTACTGCCCCCATCCAGTAGCAGTCTATGTTAGGGGTCTTATTAAGGGCCATATATAATTATACTATAGGTATTATCCAACTGTTACAAAGAGCACCATGCTAATTACAGGCTCTATAGGTTAGGTACTGCCCCCACCCAGTAGCAGTCTATGTTAGGGGTCTTACTAAGGGACATATATAATTATACTAAAGGTATTCTCCAACTTTCACAAAGTGAGGGCAGTACCAAATCTGTGGGCCATTTCCCGTTTTGACTTGGGTTTTCCCCTGCCGCGACTTCTTGTGGGCCTGACAGTAGGGGTCCTCATGCCTAGGGGTCGTTTCTCATGTATGCCCTCTCACGCCCTGATGCAAAAAGAGCTTGTCGGAGAAGGCGCTTCCTTTTGGCAAAGGCTTTCCGCTTGCCTTGCCTGACACGAGTCTCCTTTGTTTCCCTGGGTTGCTGATCAGATCACTAACCTTATCATTCCACATGGGTCCTGACAAAGCATGCCTGATCTGACTAGAGTAACAGCCAAAGCGAGGATGCAGGCCCACGTCAGTTATGATGCTGATGCTGATACTCGTGATAAGTAACTCTGACTCTACTTCTCTACAGTCATGGCTAAGGCGAAGGGCTTAGGGGCAGGAAGCTTGTGAGGGGCAAAAAAGCATTTGAGCGAACTCAAGGTTCTTACAGCATAAGGTGCCTCCGAGCCCAGATTTTGGTGAAAACTAAGGCCTTCAACTCTGGAAACCAACAAAGTCGCCAGAATAGTCTTTCGGATACTTGCTATACGCCTGCGTGCATCCTGCCAGAACACCTTTCCCAATCAAGCTAGTGCTCACTGCCACGTTGCCTTCCTTTTCCTTGGCCTTCAGCCGCTTGCGGGCCTCTTCGTCCGGGATTTAAGGCTCGGGGCTTGATTGTGATCAAGAGATGCACTTTGCTTCAACTGCCATCCTTGCGAGGTTTTCTGCCTGTCATACTTTCAGCGCAAAGCCCGAAAATCCCTGTTAATCACAACCGCACCCCCTCATAGCAAATGTTCCCGATTCATTTAGGATTTAGGTTGTAATGCCCTCCATATCATGAGGAACATTTCCATTCGATAAGTGAGGGCTTTGTTATTGTTCAGGGTAGGTGATTCGTGTGAGCCGTGTGCTTTGGCATACCACAAGTCGCATTAAGTGATAAAGACAGCAAAGACAAAACAGAGATGCATTCATCTAAAGAACCCTTGTACGCACTACAGAGCAGGTGGGTGGAGGCAGTCGAGACCGGGTAGGCTTATGTTCTTCATGTAAATATGGTCTTACTCCATATTTCCCCCTTTTCAACCCGGACCCCTAAACCCTAAACCCCACCCTCTCAGTTGTCCAGCGCCCAGTCCCCAAAAAATCTTAAACTTTCCCTTCAGCAGGGGTTTAACATACACCCAAAAATTTAAAGTTCGGCCACTGTACTATCGACAACCCAATGAACAACTACAACTCCTGTGAAGCCCAGCTGCGCTTTTGCTCAGAGGCTGCGCATCTGGCGGGGACGCTTTTGCAGGCCCTCTTCCAGTCTGCGGAGGCTTGGGAAGGGCTCAAGGCTCAAGGGGCTTTAGGGTTGGGATAGGATAGGGGAAGATAGGGGTTGTATATGGAAACTACTGTAATGGGATTAATATAGGGTTTAGGGTTTAGGGGTTTGGGGCTCAAGGGGCTTTAGATTATAGCTTTTTTGCGGGACTTTCCTGCCTTTTGTTCGCAGAAGCGCAAGGTTTAGGGTACAAGGCCAAGGGGTCTAGGGTTTCGGATTGAATGGTTGTCCTTAAAGGCTTAAAGGGCTCTGTAGGGCATGCTGGGAAAAGGAGGAAATACCTCTGATCTCCGAATCCCAAGCTCCCACGCGAGAGCTAGTGTCAAACACGCCCTGTAGCTTAACTCTGGGGGGTATTCCTTAGGTGGATCCCCCACCCAGTAATAGTGACTATAAGGGATAATAGGGATTTATTAGGGGTCCTCTTATATTCCTATTATACCACTATTACAGGGCGGGGGACCCTCCTAAAGTATTCCTTTGTGCTCTCGGTGCTAGCTAAATCTGAAATCCCCCTTACGAGGGTCTGCGCTGATGGTCCTTGAGGACGACAGAAAGTGGGCAGCACTCTTTTCGTACGCAGACGGAGGAGACCGACCAACCACCCCAGCAACCGCCTCGTCAGGACCGTAACCTGGAACGCAGAATTCCACCAAACCAATGCTACTATGCCAACGAGAGATGCCCAGACTGCGCAAAAACTCAAGCCTGGCCTAATCCCTTGCACGCCTTGACGCATGAATTAAGGAACAGTTCTGGAACAGCCCCTACATCACATTAGGGATCTCAGGATCGCCTGGGGCAGGATCTTAAACTTCGGCGCACGGCGTTAGAGTCTTAAAAGCAAGCTAGGACTTTGGAAAAAGGGAGAATGTGTTGCAATCGTTTGTTTCCCGGGGAACGCAGCTTGCATGGCTATGTGAGGATTTCCAGAGATTAATTAGAGGGGGGTAATAGTAAGGATCATTGCACATTTGGGTCTATTCTGGGGTCCACCTATTTATGGGACCTTCTAGATCTGTTCTGCTTCTTTCAAAGGGTGTGGTCTGGGTATCCGTTTTCGTAGTTGGAAACATCCGACATCCCTTCCCTCTGCATCATCCTAACCCTCTCCTGGGCAATGTGCAGAAATCGGTGAAGGAATAACACAAAACTATATACCCCGTCAGCCTTACATCCCAAGCCAAAAGCCTTGCAAATATTACCTATAGCCCCAATCACTCTACTCAACCTATTGATTAGGGGTACTTCCAATTCAGCTGTAGGTAGTTGAGGTTCCGAGTAGAGGTGTTGCCAAAACACATGTACGCTATTGGCTGCCCTCGCGGTGTCCATACCAGCAGCAGCACTGGAGCCCAGAACCTAACCCCCACCCTAGACCCTAAATCCAAGGCCTTCGCCCTAACTAAACCCTAAACCCTAGTTACATAGAGGCTATGTTCCCTTACTCCTTAGTAGCCACTTGCCCTGCCTGCGGCTTAGACTTGGGCTTGGGGCGCTCTGCCGCCGATCGAAAGAGGGATGCGAACCTGATGCCCCTTTGGGATCTGGTGGGTTCCGTTCCTTTTTTGAGGAAATATTGGGGTTATACCGGGGTTATATTGGGATCATGGAAAATTAAAATGGATCAAAACGGAAACTACTATGTTGGGTTATATAGGGTCTAGGGTATAGGGGGGTAAAGCTTACTACCCCTAAACCCTAAGCGATAAATAATATTCTGCACTACATAAGGGGGACCTGCTCTTGGAGGGAACTCCAATCTCCTAGACTCAACGAAGCTTCGTGCACAAGGAAGCCCGCATGGGTACGCAGCTTCAAAATGACCAGTATTCGGGTACCCAAAATGTTGGTCCCATTCTGGTACCCTTAATTACGTATTAGGTGCCGTAATAACCTATGACCCAAAAGGGCCCATGATGCTGAGAACCGCCGATTTCTAGGAGTTCTTTGCTGCAATCAAAGGTTCCAGGATCTCAACCCAAGGTCGTGCCCTAATGAAACCCTAAATCCAAGGCCGTACCCCTAATAGTTTCCGTCATTATGTCACTCGGATTCCTTGAACTGAAGGCATCCTTCTACTCAGGGTACAGCCTTAGCATTTAGGGTTTAGGAGCGCAGTCTTGAAATCCTTTAGGCAGGATGCAACTGCTCTGGTGCCAACTGAGGAGACTAATCCAGGTTTGGAAGCTCTGCTTCGAGATACACTTGTGGTCCCTTGTTTGGCTTCCTAGACATGAAAGGCCTTATTCTGACCGGGACCCAACAAGGCATCACACTTTTGACAACCTACCATGTAAGGTTCGCAAAGTAGAGAACCCGTGGGGAAGATATTGATATATTGCTTAATACAACGAAAGAGGCTGAGGGTTTTCAAGTACTCGACTATATAGGCTACTGACTAACCGCCGGAGGGCAGTTAGGGTCTGAAAGTTCCTGTTTTAGGATTTGGGTTTTGGAGCTTGGCACATTTTGGTAGCATTTGGTGGATGCTCAGGCATTCAGTCGATGCAGCAGCAAATTCTTCGGTATAACTTAGGCACCAAATTCTTCGGGATAACTTAGGCGCTCTTCCTAGCAATTCGTAGTGACCACAAGGGATAACGGAGATCATATTGAGCCCCTGCATATTCCTGTTCTACTGCTGTTGGTGGGGGTGGGGATCACCGAGAAGATAGTGTATGGAGAGCCAGAAATGCCTTTGCAGTCACGCACATTTGCACCAAACTTCGACGTCTCCAAAATCCTATGCGACAAAGGCGGCATTTTCGAAAACAATGTTTGTCACACTTTGAGTTCGCTTGCTTTGTTTCAATTACTCGTAAAATGGCTCACATGCTCGTGTCATACTAGGCTTGCCTACTCAGAACTGAGACCGTAACTCCCTACCCTACATTAGAATCTAACTCAAGCCCACGGTTCTTGCGAGTAGGGTTTTTGGGTTTAGAGTTTAGCGGTTTAGGGTTTATGTCCCCTACACTACAGGCATCCACCTCTGACCGCGCATAAAGCTACCCACGAATGAGACCAACTGCAGGACCGAAGCATCTCATGAAGTTGAGGCCGGTCTTGATGGCGCCGCGGAAACGGCCATGCGGCGAGGAGGGGGGCTTAAAATCCCAAACTCAAATGGTTCAGCGTGCAAAGTTTCTTGCACTTTGGGATCCCCTTCCGGGTGCTTTCAATGCAAAGCATGTGGAGGAGTCCTGAGATCACGAATATGCCAAGATCGATCGAAACTTTAGATGTTTTAAGTGTCTTTTTTTGAACCTGAACTTGCATGCAGCACTGGAAGGTTTTACAAAGTCTTTGTCTTCGGCAGACAAGGTTCAAGGAACCAGTAAGTATTTCCAAAATTGAAGTGCAAGGCGGGTGTAATCCAGAAAAAGCCTGCGTACGCCAATGTACATGAATCAAACTTGGTGGGAAAAGGCTGCAAAGTGCTCAAATGGATGTGAGCTATAGTGTAAACTCCTAGTATCCCCCTTAGTAGCACCCATAGTAGTCCCCTATAATCCCCAATATTACCCCCATTTCAGGAGTTCAGATTATGACTCATGTGCTGCTGTTACTGCTGCATCGCTAAAAAATGCGAGCCGGCATACGAGCTGCCAACATGCTTTGGGTTTAGGGTTTAGGGTTGCTGCGCATTCGGCTTCTCGGTTGCTTTTGATTTGAAGAGTTCGGTCAGATGGGAATGGAAAAGAAAATGATACTAACATAATGGGTTATATCAGGACTACTGTAAGGATCCACTCCTTCATAGTGAAGCTACTATCACAGGGAAATCGTATTGTCTACAATACACTAACGTTCTGGCAGCTTGCTTTGAAGTCCCTTAACAGCGCCGAGCTTGCTGACTGGCAGATCGATGAGGAAGGTTTGAGTGCTCTTCATGGCATCGTGGCCCGCAGCAAAACACTCCATTCCTTAGGAGGACCCCCACCCTGTAATAGTGGTGTAATAAGAATAAGAGGACCCTGATATAACCCCTATTATCCCTTATAGTCACAATTACTGGGTGGGGGGTCCACCTAATCTATTCTATTTAATCTATTGTAATTGCCAAGGTCCTAGTAGTGATTAAGAACAGCTTTGCTCTCTAGACGCCTCGAGGACCACTTGCAGAACACGGTAAACCACTACTACCTCATGGAAAGCCATGTCTCTGGTTCCATGTGCAGTTGATTCCAAGAAGATTTGGGGTTCCTCACAAGTATTGGAAGTAATAATAATAATTGTAGTAAAAATACTTCTACTAATAATAATAGTAATAACAGTAGTAATTATACTAATAACACGAATGATAGAAACAATAATAGGGGAAACTTTTCCGAGAGACTCCCGTCTTGCTCAGTGGTACTCGGAGGTAGCTGTTTGCAATGGGCCGGGCCCTTGTTACACCACACGTCTGCTAGCCCATGAAGGGAGCCAAGTTTGCTACAGAAGCCCAGAAATTCCAACACTGGCTTTCGTCATACATCCACTTCGTGTTCCTCAATTATACCTGGGCAAGGGCATTCCATAATCTCGCAGTCTATCCGGCAATCGCGAAAGTCCACGGAAAATCTTTCCAAGCCATTCCAACTCCCCGGACCCCGGATGCTTGTGAAGACCCCTGAGCAAGCCTTATGTCACCTATGCCACAACTCTGCAAACGCCGTTGGTGCCCCTAGTCAATCAGACAAAAGCTGTACTCAGGTATGGTCCCCCTTAAGTAAATAGAACATGGCTATGGGTAAATTATAGTAAGATCCCAATATACCCCATATTCTATCTACTTAAGGGGAACTGTAGCCACTCAACAGAGCCTTAAGGCCTGCTGTTGATACTGAGAGATGTTACCCCAAATGAGGAGGATCAAATTGAACAGAAAATGGGAAAGAAAAAGAAACTGGGATGATATTGTGGTTTATACGGTTCAAGGGCTTCCTACTGTTCATGCCAGTCATTAATCCTGCACGACCCTGGTATAATACAATACCAGAATCCTCCACCAGGTATAGGACTTTAGGGTCATGCAGGATTTTTAGTATCAGCCCCCTAAACCCTAAACCCTTAGCCCTAAACCCTTTTTCAACCCGGACCCTTGAACCCCTAACCCGTTGCACTTGGCATTTTTTAAACACGAGTGCAGCGGTGCGACTGTCGGCCAGAGCGCCGAGCGGAGATACGTCTCAAAGGGTACGTGGTACCCGTGAGGATCCGTGAGGCCTCCCCTAGGTATAGAGTTTAGGGCTTAGGGTTTAGGGGGGTTTAGGGTTTAGGGCTGAGGGTCCAGGTAGGGAATTGGGAGCAAGACCTTGCCTCACTATCATCAGGAGTAGTAACGACACTGGCAGGAGGAGCAGCAGGAGCAGCAGCAGGAGCAAGAAGAGGATCATCATGGGGGCTCACCTTTGCATTCTTAGGGACTTCAGGGGCCAAGGCATGCATATGAAGCCTAAAGTGCCTGGCAAGAAGGCAGTCGGTGGAAAGGTTGCTGTCGTTGAATACCCGCGTCTTTTAAAGTGAAAGATCAAGGCTCGTCATGGATATGATGTAGCTGCATCCATGTAAATGAGAACCACATAGCGCATCCAAGTTCTCTTAGTGGCTCACCTCCAGCTTCGCAAGGAATGTGGCAGGGATGAAGAACTGGAAACTACTATTTTGTTCAAGACTCTATAGGGACTACCACAAGGATCTATTCCCTCATTCCTTGCCAACCAAAGGTAGGGAGAACCGTCGCCGCTGTATTTGTCAGACCGCAGACCCTAAACCCTAAACCTTGGGTACTGCCCCCACCCAGTAACAGTCTATATTAGGGGTCCTATTAAGGGCTACATATGACCATATGATACTTATTATCCAACTGTTACTGAGTGGGGGCAGTATCCAACCTAAACCCTAATTTAAAGCCCGGGAGTCAGAGCTGGAAACCCGTTCACTTGGAGTCAGTCTTTCGAGAGACCAGCTCCCATGGAGTAGACCGGGTGCCCTAACTTAATGATTCTTGTAGGAAAAATACGGAAATGATCCCTATGTAATCCCTATATGCTATATTCCCATATTCTCCACTAACAACCAGTGTGCTAAGCAACCATAACCCACATCTCTTGGCCCTACACTTTGCTGTTTTGTTTTGCAGGGGGGCACGGCCCTTTTTGAGACGTGAGCACTTTTACACGCGGAGGTGAATAGGCATGGCTTGCAAGTTCTGGTACTTGCTGCCACTTGTACACTGCAAACGGCAAAGGCGTGTGGGGTGTAGAGTTAAGATCGTGAATTATGGAAGGGCCGTGGTGCTAAGGGTCTAGGATTTGGGGGACGGCGAACTCTTGAAGAGTAATCGTTTCCCATTTTGAGCTCCCTTTTTCTCTACCCCTGAACCCTACTTTCGGGTTGGAAAGGAAGCGCGCTTTACAAATCAGATGGTGTTTCAGCACCTTTTGGGTTCAGGGTTGCTCCCGGGACGTCTGAGCTTTTCCTGGTTGTTGTTTTAGGGTTTAGGGTTTAGGGCTTTGCAGGAGTTTTGGTGGAACTGATG